CTCCTACGCACCTGGCGCCAGTAAAGGTGACAGACATGATCCTGTTGAAGCCACAGGGACAAAAGGGCTTGGTAGAGGGGCGCTCACCGATTGTTTTAGGAGACACACACTCGTCCTGGGGGCTAGACCTGGAGTTCCGCCATTAACCGACCAGCGGCTGGTGCGTTATGGCAATACAGATAAATGCAAGGGAAACTGGAATGGCCCTTTTTGGTTTGCGAAACCGATCGTAAATGATAACACAACGAATCACCGATAAGGGCGTCGAACTCTTCACCACCAGGTCACGGGTTCGAACTTCAGGGATTTCAAAACCGTGATCGGGAATGAGGGTCGTGTGCTTGGTCTCTGCTACCAGCGCGAAGTGGCTGTTTCCGGCAGAATTCAGACAGTTGTGACTGCAACCAATCGCATTAAACATTGGCGATAAACAACCCATCGATCCACAGCTAACACGCCAATATTTTAAACCACAGTTGGTAAATAAAATTTTGGCTTGCATATGGTGAAATGCGAATGACGCTCTAGGTGACACAATTCCAATCGTACAATTACTCAGCTTTAAGGAAAGCTGCTAGACAGTGACGACTGAAAACATTACAGTAGCTGTGAGGCAATTTTTTTCCCAGAGGAACTGTCTACAGATGGACAAGCAGACTTTGCCCTCAGACCTAGTTTAACCAGTCTGACGCATCAGATGATAAGCTAAAGGAGAGTACGCTTACGGGGACTGTTTCCTTTCTGGCAGGTTTCCCTGCAGCCCCAGAAATATAAGACTAAACAGAAGAGACGAAGGCAGTTTGGGAATTCCGAAAACAACTTTAAAGAGGCTAACTTAAACACACTAATTCAGGCGAAAACGTTCTGGTTTGTTGATGCGTCGTTATTCTATGGAGGGGTGTTGAGGTTAATAGAGTAAACTCTTATCACTACGATTTTCCAGGCCCGGTTCCTTAGGCGAAGAAGAAGAGGTTGGAGGCCAGAGTGTTAGGAACAGTTTATTCTGTACAGAAGGATGTGTATAATAGGAAGTAGGAGGTTTGACTTTCAGAATAGCGTACGTCCGTAGGCCGGCGTGCTGTGTCTGAAATAACGAGAGCGTAGATCATTACCGGAAACCCAGAGCGTGCTTTGCAGCTGCAGCCAATCACGAAATGGGTCACACTGATTGGTACGCGTTCTCCCGCGGGTAGATCAAGACTAG